AAACAGATCTACCTGATTTATCCTTTTTCTCTCTGCCCTAAATATGTAATTAGAAAAAGTTTAATCAGGAATGGTTTGATGTCTCCGGGTGAGTTGAGATGCGAGTTAGAGATTTACAGAGAACAACGGGTCCACACGCATCCAGGAAATCATATAAGACAATCCACTAACGTGCAGGTTAAGGTAACCAATTATCACTCATCATATGATATTCCACAGGTTAACTCGCCACAATCATGATGTCAATGAATATTTACATATCACAGAAATCATTGCATATCGAGTATAAATTCGCTCAGCCATCAAAACTATACTCCATGCACTTTCGAGCATTGTAAAAATATACTATACAACACACATACAACAAAGTATCACACATATTCATATGCAATACAACACAAATTAAATTTAACTACAAATGACTTCCATTTCTTACATCAATGAAAGTGCAACAATCATTACTCACATCACTCTATTAGCTAATATATTATTCATTGGCCAAAAACAAAAGTCTCCAATCATAGTTATTAATCTAATGACACGAAGAATAAGTTAACATAAGTATTTATCTCTTAGTGTAGATGAATATGTATTATAACAGTTGAAAGAACATATTAAATTAATAATCAAATGCAGTTCTGAGGAAGCTTTCATCATAAGATCATGAAAGATCCATACTGTTGAGAGATTAATGTTCGATTCCTCAAAGTTGTTAGTACTCTTGTTGTTCTACCATTTATCCCACATGTTCTCTGCTCTATAATTCTGGCATCATTGATACACTCTAGTAATAGACACGAGGATAGTGGAACTTTCTCTTTATACTTCGCATATGATCTCAGATTAAGTATAGAAGAGTAAAATTGTTAATTCTGTTCTCAAGCTATTATACGGTATCATTCACCGTTCCATCACCAGAGTGCTCCTTCCTAAATATCAAACATTATTTTTACGCACTTAATATGTTGTCACAACATCTTGCGCGTGCTTATTACTGACCACAAATTTCCTCTCTATTCCATTATATTCATCTATATTTCTTTCTCTCGCGCGTCTGTCTACTTCTACTTCTGCTACAAAATACTGCTTATCCACATTATTCACACAAATCCTATTAACATTTACACACATCTCTTCTGTCTAATGTCATAAATTATCTGTTATGTGTCATATCTCTATCACTTCCCTACACTTTCTGCTTTCCCACTACCCAGCCTAAAACCTATTTGAGCACAATCCAATATGCATTACCACATCCTATTATTATTCCTAAGCTATTATTCATCTCCTATGCAGTCACAACAAATTTCCCGGTCTTCTGAGCGAGGTCGTGGTTCCACCATAACCTCCCTCAATCTCTCTCCGTTATTACGTATCGTCTCCTTATCTTCGCACACTTATTCTCTGTGTCTGTTGCCTCTCCACCAGCTAGTTGCATCCTACACTTGCCATATCACATGAGGCATGCTCTCTTTAACTGCACCATGTCGTCTAGTCACGAGTCCCGTTTTATTCCCGTATCATAAACGCACTTGGCTATGTAGTACATGCTTGTCCTGCCCTCACTCTCAAAGTGTCCCTCCCCCCCCTGGATATGGCTGACTCTCTCCATTCCTCGGACCATCTCTACGAGACGCGCTCGGTACTATTGCTCAACTTTCATTCGTGGCTCTCCCTCTCGAATTAACCTAGTCTTGTGGAATCGCTAATCGCTTCTATTTGTATTCTTGTTAAGACACGCACCGTCATCTCCTTCATAGCGCTCTACTTGCTTCCACTCTACTCGCCTGCGTCTCGCTTCATCTGTACTGGTACGTCATAAGTGTTATACCTACACTGGCAAATTGAATATTCACACTATCACTCACGATAAAATAAAAAAAACAAATACCTATCCAAGCTATCTGATAATCATCCTCATTTTCATCTTTTGCCACTCCGAGTTATCGGATCCACTACGAGATCGGATGCACTAATTGTCAACTTACGCTCGCTAATCGGAAGTAGTCTACTCATTCATCAGGTTAACATGTCAAACAAATGACAGCCAGAATCTACTTGCTTCATAATGCCCTCTAATACGGGCATAAAAGCCCTAACCACACTATATATATACACACATACTGCATACCTTATGATTAAAGAATATTGCCATCTGTATCACAGCGAGCGCCTCATATCTCGCGAGCTCCTTCGTTCCCTACACGCCCATGCATATGCGTTTGACGTGCGTCACTTCTCGGCTTACCAGTCCGCCTGGGCACCTCCAGCCCGACAGCGTTGCTTCTCTCCCTCACCGCTACACACAGCATCTCGTAGTTTCTCGCTCCATCTTACTTCGTTGCTGAAGCACATCTGATGCCATGCGAGCTTCTCTCTACTATACATCTACCTATCTTCTATCTCTCCCATCTCATCTCTCTACAGACTTTATCTCCAATATCTCTCCTAACTATATCCACCACATCTGACGTCGTTTATAAATTCCTTCTTATATCTCATCACGTCAACGAAATGTCTACTGTAAAGCTGCCACAGCTCTCTCTCCCTACTCGCTGAGTTTAGTCTTTAACTAATCACATTTGCGATCGCAACACCTGCTTCTCTCTGCGCTGCAACACCTCACATAGCTCTCGAATTACCAGTTTGTCTTTACTTGACCCCCCCCAACTCTGTAAGCGTGCTGCAGCTCGAAGGCTACGGTCGCTATCATCTCCCATCCATACACCCAGCCCCCCTCCTGCGTCTGGCCAGTGCGATAACACATTTATACTCCTATTCTCTTCAACGTGCAATACCACACTCATTCTCTCTGGTCCCTCGTAGCTCGGCTTTTAAACCTCGTAAGACATATATTCACCAAACGCATATGTGTAAATCTCTCATAAGCTTGTTATCCGATCTCGTCTCACTTACCCGGCCTTAATGAACTCCGATTACATTATTTAGCACTTTTTTAAAAATAAAATTATCAATTTCTAAAATTCAAGTGCAATAATGTGTCAATTAAATGTTGCCCTGAAAATGTTGACAGACGCCCGTCTGAAATCCTATATAATATGAAATAGAGAAATACGATCAAAAGTGAAATCGCGTAAAATCACCACGTGAGCAGAAACATGTAAGCGTATGAGTGCGAGAAACGACATCACCACTATTTCTCAGGACAATAAGACAATATAACAAAATTATTCCTGCGACATCTCAGAGCTATGGCACAACAGTACTCTATGTAGCGTCGCGCGTGTTGCTCTCCAGGCGCTCAACACATATTTATTCTGAACGATCATATTCCGCTATGTATGACGAACACTCGAGCTGCCCAGCATCATCGACTGGTCGCGACTAGGCACGTCAACAAATCACATTGGGCACGCGTCTGCTCATGGGTGAGACACTAAACTATGCACTTAATATCGTTCCGCTGAGTGATCCATGAGAAGGAGCCGAACAAATCAAGTTTGGTAATGAGTTTTGTATATGTGGTTCATAAATATGCGGACAATATGACACTCTCTATGTGAAATAGACTATGCATTAGCCTATATGTCAGTGACATGAGTTCCGCGGATGATGCTATGTTTGTCCGCATCGGCCAAGACCTGTATACCAATACTACCCCACTACGATAAATGCCGCGAGATAAATCTACTGCATAGCTGTATCGAGCGGTCATTTCTAGTGTATGGTACCGCTAAAAATGAGAAAGAGTTGACTGAGTTTCTCGGTGCACAGTTGAGAATGCAAAGTCAACTGAGACATATGACTTGCTTTCATGTCTTCTTGACATGCCTTATGATTGCGAGATTATCATATTGACATGTAGATGTCATGGACTCATGGCTATCTCCAGTCTGGTCTATATAACTCAATGCCAAAGGCACACATTCTCTCTGCACATGGTAAATGCTACTCTAAGCTGTGCCCTAAACAGTTGATCCTCTTTTGGCCCCAACTCTAGTCACAAGAAACTGCCGCTGAAAAGAAAGCTTAAAGTCCCTATTTAACCCTGTATGGCAACCAAAGTGTTGAGAGCAGGATAAATGTGTTCTCCATGCTTCACACTTTTCACTCATGTGATTGACTACACATGATGCCCGGCATGTGGCTCTGCACAAAGTGGGGAAATCCCGTTGTGACACAGTTAAAGGTTAAAGTGAATCATAATAATAGTAAAAGTAATACTGATTTCAGTAATAATAATAATGATAATAATAATGATAAAAATAACTTCTCATCATCATATTACATCATATACCATCATCAATAATCATCATCATGATCATCATCATGATCTTCATCATCATCATCATTGTGATCATTATGATCATCATCACCATAACCATAATCATTTCTTTATGCATATCTCTGTAGGTGGATTAGATTTAAAAAAATATATATGTCCCATTAGTTGCAAAATATTATAATTGTTTAAGTTTCACTAAGGCAAATTTTAGGGTTTAGCATTTAAAGAGCTCAATTCTATGCACCAGAAAATGTAAATGTCCTTGCTATATTCAATTAATAATATCTTTAAAGTATTTCAAAAATCTTGTTTAATGACATATAAAAAATAGGTATTACACAAACAGGGAAGAACAGAAATACTGTTAATCACATTAAGCACAATACAGAGTACTTATTCTGACTAAAGCCTTCACTAGAATATGTTCTATATTCAATTTTGCATTCAATGTATCTGCATCTAGCCACACCTTCATCCATTTCCATTTATATCCCTCTATTCTTCTTTCCTCTTTCCATAAGAATCCATCTCCTCCTTCCCTTCCATCTATTACTCTCTTCATTTTCTGCATCCTTTTCATAATCCAACTACCCCCACCTCTCTCCAATTCATCCCACCCTTCCACTACCTGTTTTTCCCCTGCTCCATCCCCACACTTCTCGTCTATCCCCTTTTCTCCTACATGCTAATCCTTACTCACACACTCTATCCACCCATCCCCACCCATCCACCATCTCTATCTCCTGTAACATACCCTTAAGCTTCTTGACCCTGGTGCCACTGGTAGTGTCCCAGCACATGACAGTCTTGTCTGCAGAGGCTGTGTAGAGTGCACTACCGTCCGTCGAGAAGTGCATGTCTGTGATTGCATTGGTGTGGCCCATCAGCATGGCAAAGTTGTCACACTCGCCATACACATTCCAGAATACTGAAGGAAAGAACAAATGTGAGCAAAAGATATGTGTACAAAAAAAAGAAAAGGAAAAAATGAAATGCACAGTCATTTCTATGTCAAGGTTAAGTTTCTTCACTTACTGAATTCACATCACTGAGATTTTGATTTTTATATTTCTATAAAATCAAACTTTAAAGAAAAAATAATCATGAAAGTCTCTCATTCTTATAAAACTTATAAAGAAAAAATATGATTTAATGATAAATTTTTTACAATTACAATATCCACGTGTAAATCAAGTTCTAAAATTACAATCCAAACTCTGACACTCACAAATCTGTCTATCCATGCCCGCTGTGACAAGGACTTCTCCTTCAGGGTGGAACTTGCCGCAAAGGATGTCTCCCTGGTGGCCTGAGAGCTGCATAATGGGTGCCATCAAGCCACTGGTTCTAGGTGGGCCCTGCAGAGTGTATTGCATTAGGATCTGGATGCTTTTATCCAATACAGGCTTATTTATACTATCCTTTGTAAGTGAGAATGTGTGCTGTCCACTGTAGCTTTTTATGATTTTTGTTGCAAACATCTAGCTCCACAAGTTCTCAGCCACCAAAGATTCAATCAGCATGGCGAACACAACTTCACCAGATTTTTCTGTCCCTTGAATTTTCCAGCAAAGTGTTTAATCAATATCAATAGTATCATCATTATTAATATCATCAATATCATAATGTATTTCAATACTAAGAGAAGTAAATAAAAAAAAAAAATAATAATAATCTTTCAGGGACAAACACAAACAAGTGAGACAGGTCAAACTAATAACTGAATTATTGGTGACTAAGTATTTGTCGAGTCATCAATGTGCAAACATAGTTAATACAATACTAACAGAAGTAAATAAAAATTAAAAATAATGATCTTTCCATAGGTCAGGGATAAAGGCAAACAGGTGAGATAGGTCATACTAACAACTGGCTTATTGGTGACTAAGAAATTGTCAAGCCATCTATGTGCAAACATAATTAGTAAACTCACATTACAGTGTACATTGTCATTAAGCTGAGATACAAATACTTTATGTCTGAAAATAAATTTCAAAAAGTTACTTTTGAAGTTATTTGCTTGGAATGCACACCTTAGTTATTGTTAGATACAAGTGCTGTCAATAACTTATCCCTGTCATAGACAAGTCCTAATTTGATATTTTTATAGAACATTTTCAGGTGAGACACAAAAATGATTAATATACCATAGGACTGCCTATAAAGGATGCAGAATAATAATAAATCTCTCTTCCTATTGCAAGAAGCTTTGAACTAGAAAAGACAGTGTTTTGGGAAAACAACAAATCAAACTGCAACAGCATAGTCTACATGACACAAATTAATAGATATATAGTTATGCCTAGTATGAAAATTAAGAGTTATCTGTCACAAAACCCTTACTAAGAAAAGGGGATATCAGCCAGTAAAATCATCTTTGCCATCATTTTCCCTGTGTACCATTCATACTAGACTATAATAATGCTATATGTATCACATGTAACAACAAGGTGTGAAAAAGCAAACCTTGTCAAACAAATAGGTATTTCTTGACAGTACAGACACAATCGCCAGAGATAAAGTCCCCAACTCCAAATCATAAAATCTATCCAACAATCTAAGTTGCCGAGACTGGGTGTGCCATTCGGGACTGGGGTGGGTTTCCTGGAGGGTGTCAGGGGTAAGAGCTCTCTATCACCTTTATGTCTGCAGATTATTAATTGTACCAATGATTACAACTTTTTGTCCTTTACCAGAATATCATCTTCAATTTGTCTTAGCTTAGTGCATCCATTCCATAAAGATTAACCAACAAATGGAAAAAAAGGTTTACCATTTTTCCAATCTTGAGGAAGCACATATAAACAATCTTTGATAATAAAGCTCCCTAATGTTTAAGCAATCAACATATGAAAGTAAAAGTATGGTAACCATTACTAAATTAGCTAGGTGGAATTCATAAGCAATCACTCAATTAATCTTAAAAATTCTTGATAGTGGTATAACCCACAAAGATCCATTTCAGAGGACATCAATAAAAAGTCTAATTGAAAAATGATAAGCTACTTGAAACCTATCACTTGGGTAATTTGTCAATCATCAAATTTAAAATAAAAATGATAATGATAGTGATTGTGACAGTGATGGCCATCATCATCACTGCAATACAATGCAGCATAAGCAGTAATAGCAATGAAAACATTAAGTAAATATCTTGAATCGGCTCACATCTTCAGACCCCTCAAATTTGGCAGAAATGGGATCCTATCAATATCTGCTTAGCAAATATACCAATAATTATCTACCGAATAAGCACATTATAAGTAAATAAGCACATTATAAATGGCTGGAAACTCATGTTATTTGCACAACTCCTTAAGAATAAGTAACCCGTAAGCGATGTCAAACTCCAAAGCCTCAGCTGGGTTGTGACGTCAATCACAAAGCCACTCAGAACTGTCTAGGTTATTATCTTGCGGGGTCATCAGTTCCCCTCCCATGTTGGCAAAAGTACATAAATACAGCATAATCCAGCCCTGAAATTTTCCGATACAACATGTCTTTCCAAATCATTTTTACCTACCGCCGCCAACAATCAATCATTATCAATGTTATAATACACATTAGAAATCATGTGGAATCCACCGATGCTAAACAAGATACATTTTACAATGCGATTATATTCCAGAAAATTACCTAAATTTCGTAGGCACTGTTTCCCTCAAAACTTACACTTTGAATTACTGTTCCCTTTTCTCCTGAATGAGCCACCAACTCATGGCGAGACTTTTTGGTAGGCACAGCCACGGCCATATAATCTCCCTTCCGTTTCCCCTCCATTTTGGAAGAAAATTTTGAGATCAAATAAAAGTTTCCTTTGAGGACGCTCCAACCTCGCCGAATCCCTGGTCCAAAACGTAAACAAGAAAGGTAACGGACTTAAATTTTTATTTTATGATAAATTCAAGGATATTTAGAGTATATTTATTCACTTTACTCACGTTTGTGAGTCTTAATTATTTATTTGTACATGAGAGATACCGTTAGTACCAAATCTCCCATAAGAAAATAATTTGTGTTCGTAGAGGCTTAATGGCGGAATTTTCAAGTAAGATGTTTAATTTTCTTTAAGACATATACAAAATAAGATTTTTAATTTTAAGAAAAGTAAAATCTTTTATGACGTTAAGTATCAGATACTATTCTTGATTTGTATTGCAGCGTGTATGAAGGAATTTATATAAAAGAATTTATCAAAGTATTCAATAAAGATACTATACATTTGCATTGGCATTTGCATATTTTCAATGTTAATTATAATCTTCTTCTCTCTTAATTTAGAGGGGTCAATAGTCCCAAACGCAACAGATCTTTATACCAAAGGTCTTTATTGTTTACATTACAGATGGAACTACAATTTTGAATTTCTTCGTGTGTCTGTCCTGTGAAAAGTACTGCATTTAAAACTTTAAAATTAATGACTAAAGGGTAAATTGTGTATTGACAACGGTGTTTTCTGTTTGAGGTATGTAATCAGTTTGATAGTTGACCGAGTTGAAATAATAAGAGTATATGATTATAAGTTATTCTTCCTCAAGTAATGACCGTGCTGGTGTTGCAATTTCGTGTGATTGTACCTTTGTAGGGTATTAGCACAAATATTGCCATAGAAGAAATTTCTTTTGGTTTGCATTGGTCTGTCATTTTAAATGGGTTTTATCACCAAACACAAGAACTACCTCGTAATGCATATTGTCCCAAGTGTTTTATTATTCATTTAAAATTATCATGAGAATATTAGTCCCTACCAATTTTATGTAAATGTTTAGATGGGACCTACACACACACCACTGACGTTTTCCTGAGTGACCGTCTCAACATGGGTTGGCTTTCTAATGCTGCGTTCAGAACTCCAGGTCTTGCTCGTCCAGACAACTTGTCAGGACCAGCAGGACAATGAGGCCGCATTCGGGACCTCCAAGACACTCACACTAAGGAACCAGCTCAAAAATAAACATTCACGCTTTTATCATATCAGGGTCTATATTTTACATGCTGGATAGGTTTTGTAATTCCTTTGATGGATATTTAACTTACCTGTAACTGACAAACACAAAAATATCCTTTGAAAACATCAATAATGGACCATAAAATTACCCATCAATATCATGTGGGTGCCTGCAACTGTCATTGTTTACATACAAATGCTATTGTGACCTCAACTAGTCCTGCTTGCCAAGCTCGGCAGGAGGGTAAGATGGAGAAGATGGACGACTTGGCCAGGACGAGAAAGTAGAGTTTCCGAATGGCAAAACATCTTGTCCAGTTTGTCCAGATGAGCAAGACAAGGTGTTTCAAATGCAGCATAATGGCATGTAATCATCAAGCTATCTTGTTCAGGGTTTGAAAAGTCATGTTTTAAGTCTTATATGCTCTTTCAGTGTTGTACTTGTAGGTTCTTAATAAATAATGTATTTCTTCATGGATAGAGAGTAAATATTTAATAACCATTATCAATGAAAAAAACATTAATTTACTCATATTTGATACTTTCAGGATTTTTGGTATAATAAGGCAGTTGAAAGGAAGAAGAAAACCATAAAACAGGTAATTTCAGCATTCAAGAAATGCAGAAGAAAGTAGTTGGGGGTGAACGGCACATCTACGTAAAACCTAGCAATGGACTGGATCCTAGTGGTGCACGCAGGAAGTACCCCAAAGAAAAGCCTGTTCTGGAAAACAGAGAGATGAGGAACATCCCCATAGCTCCAAGTCTAAGCCAGGAAATCAGGAACATTGCTGCACAGTCCAGTGGCGCTCTGACCATCCATGGCAAGCGAGGGAAGAAGAAGAACCATCCCATCATTCCGACCCCCCTGCCGGAGAGTGCAGAAGGGGTGTATGGAGAACCAGAACTACATTCAGCTCTGAGGGTCAGTCAGGCCTTGTGGAAAGTGAGAGATGAGGAGCCTGACCTATCCATGATGCTCAAGGAGAAGCTCGAGTCTCCAAACACGGCTGCCAGGGTTAAGAAGCAGGTTGGTTATTAGGTGTTTTGCAGATTTGCAGTTCTGTATTTTTTTCCTTCTTTTTTATGAGTTAGGCAGTAGCATTTGCTTAACTGTTTGGGAAGTTCCATTAAACAGTGTCAATGATAATGACAAATATATTAATAGCATTAGAAAAAAAGTCAAGAAATTAGGAAATCGGGTAAGGTCATGTTAAGACAGTGAATTGACTCATTAGTGCCTGAGCTCTTGTTGAGCCATCTATGTGTGTAAAAAATTAACAAATAACTATAGTGGACAGTGCATAAATTCATGACCATTCATGACATGTTCTTTTTTCATACTTTCCTTTCTCCCGTCTTTGCACTGTTATTGCTAGAATCATAATCATTTTATCATTGTTATTACTGTTATGCTTCAGTTTTCATTTTCTTTATGTTTGGAATCTTTTTTCCCCACTTCTTTCCTTTTTTATTTCTTTCTATCTTCCTTTTTATCATCTTTTTTATGGTCTGTTGATTTATGTTTATAACTAGTAGCTAAACCAAAATCAGTGCAACCAAGACAACTATCCATGCTTCTCACACTCCTTCCCTCTTCCCCAATTCTTAGAGAGCAAAACGAGTGAACGTATCTGGGTCACGACAAATCTTCAATGACCTAGTGTCAGTTGATGTCAAAGAGCAAGAATTAGCAGCCCAGTTTGAGGATCAGCTCCAGATGAGGTATTTAGGGCAGTGACATCTTGAGTTTTGATGAAAGATCATGATGGCAACTTGAGTTTTGATTTTGAAGTGTGTGTGTGTGTGTGTGTGTGTGTGTGTGTGTGTGTGTGTGTGTGTGTGTGTGTATTTGTTTGTTTGTCAATCACAGATTGCAATGAATAATATGGATATCATTTCTTTATAGAGGACATAAAGTTCCTTTTTTATATAGATTGTTTTTACAAAATATGTTTTATTCGTAATTCAATGTTTTGTATGTTTCATATTTATTTGTTGAAAAGGTTTAAGACAATTTGGGTATTATTGTGTTCATTGAAAACAAAAAAATCTTAGAATATACTTTTCATTAGAGAAAGTCAAAGACAAAGTATGATTTCTAGCATTAGTTATATATTAAAGAATTATCACATAGAACTTCTCTTCTGTCATACCCTTTAACACTTTTTCTTTTTCCCCTCCATTAATTTCTGTTGAGTCTTTCACTCCCTTCCCTATTCCCAGAGCAACAGCAGTCCAGCCTCGAGCCAGACCCCGTGACCCTGAACCACAGCTAAGTGATTACCTCAACGTAGAAGATTACATCACCACCTGTCCCATCACCAGCATACAAGTGCACCCTCCGTTCAACAGTGTCAGGGCTCACAGAGTTGGGAGGGAAGAACTGTGTTGTTTGTATGGTCAGCTGATGGAGTGAGAATTATAGTGTGTGCATGTGTATGAGAGAGAGAGAGAGAGAGAGTGAGTGAGTGAGGAGTGGTGAGAGTGAGAGTGAGAGTGTGTGAGTGTGAGTGAGAGAGAGAGAGAGAGAGAGAGAGAGAGAGAGAGAGAGAGAGAGAGAGAGAGAGTGAGTGAGTGAGTGAGTGAGTGAGTGAGTGAGTGAGTGAGTGAGTGAGTGAGTGAGTGAGAGAGTGAGTGAGTGAGTGAGTAAGTGAGAGGGAGAGAGAGAGAGAGAGGTGTGTGTGAGGGAGAGAGAGAGAGAGAGAGTGTTGGTTTGTGTGAGTATGTGAGAGAGAGAGAGAGAGAGAGAGAGAGAGTGTGTGTGTTTGTATGTGTGTGTGCATGTGTGTGAGAGAAAGAGAGTGTGTGTGTGTGTGTGTGTGTGGGTTGTATTTTTTTTCACTGTTATTTGCTCATATTTGTACATTAGA